TTTTTTTTTTCTTTTAAAAATAATACGGAACATGTAAAAATGCAAAGCATTAGGTTCCAACCTCTCCATACCAGCGAAGTACAAAAGTTACTGTAGAAGTTAAAAATCACCAGGTCCTCCTTATTCGTTTTTCCGGGTGCGTTTAAAGTAATCGGTGCTTTCGGACCGTGCGCTCCTTGCGCCCCACAGAACTGCGAATTGGCCAACATTCACCCTCAGGCGAAGTCCATTTCTCAATAAATAAGAACCCCTCCCTCCAGTTTCCCCCCAGTTCCCGAACGAACTACACAGATGGTGAGGCAGGCCCAGGAGAAGGTCCGAAAGGGCAAAACGTCCCAGCATGCGGAGCTGGGGCCCGGCGGCCCGTGCCTCTTCCGACCTGGTGACTTTTTTCAGAGGCCGCAGATTGAGGACAGTGGACGGACGAGGACCTCGACTTCGTCAGCGCACAGATACACAGCGAAAGGAGACAAGAGACGGACAGAACAGAAAAGAGCTTTTGCTTTTTCTACATTGTTTTTGTTTTTCCTGATAGTCCCACACAGCTGAGGGTCGGCAGGTCGGGTCCAGCTGGCTCGTCTTGCCGCTCTGGCTGTCTCGGGCAGTTGTGCCCGCGCTCCGAGGCCGCTGTCTGCTGTCGCCGCGCGGCCCAGGCCGGGGCGAGGGCGAGCGCGCGGGCGCCGGGAAGTCGCCGGTCCAGACCGCGCGGGACTCCAAGGAGTTGGCGGGCGTCCTGCCTTCGCTGTTCCTTCTTCTTTCCCCCCGGGTCCTTCTCCGGGTCCAGGGCTTGCGGACAGGGTGGATGGACCGGGAGGCGGGAGGGGCCCGGGCCGGGGGAGACGGGAAGGAGGCGGGAGGGTGCGGGCGGGCAACCTCACATGAGTTGGGGTTGCTGCATAGCTTCTTGGTGCGCCGAGGGGTACCACGACGTGTAGCTGGGGATGTAGGAGCCCGCGCTGCCGCCCGAGCCCTTCCCGGATGAGGTGTTGGGGTTCCAGCCCGGCGGCACTGGCGGGGAGGCCGCAGACAGCGCCCGGCCGTTGGCCAGTGCGCTACCCTCCAGAGCCGCCCCGCCCTGCTTCATCAGTTTCTTGAACTTGGAACGCTTGTTCTGGAACCAGATCTTGACCTGCAAGAGCGGACAATAATGTGACTGGGCTAGGTCCATTGTGCCTACCGTGGTCGTCGGGGAGATAAGGGGGCTGTGCGTGGGACAGTCGAGGAAGGATCTCCCTCTCTGCCCTGTGCCACTGGGCAGCTCTCCGCTGGAGGAGCAGAGCCCCACCATCACCTATAAGAATCAAAGCCTGGCAGGCCCGGCTGCCGGCCGCCGGTGGCCCGCAGGGGCAGCTCTCAGAGAGCCAAGGGGGCGTGGTGGTGAGGAGTGAAGGTTGGGGGGGGGGTCCAGACCTTCGCTTGTCAGGAACTCAGCCCGACCCTGGCAATAGTCTGGGGAAGAAGCAGCGCCTGCACAACATGGAGTCTTCAAGTCCAATATGAACATCAATAAAAGAATCGTGTGGAGGAAAGGAGTGGAGGAAATTTATTTGCAATGCCACCTGCTTTCTCCTTGCTCCATTCTTTCTGCCCTTGAGTGAGTTGGGGGCTGACTGAGGAGGCCAAAGATTTCGTTAAACTTTTCATTTGGACTTAAATCAACCTTAAGTGTCTTAGTGTCTGTTTGCGCTCCCCAGCTCTGCTCCAAATCCCGGCACAGACGTTGGAAACCTGCGCCAGTCGTGATCAGAAAGCCCACGGGCTCCCCAAAGTCTTAAGCGCAATCCGGGAAGGAAGGTCCCGTTTCTCCTCCAGGGTCTGGGACTTGGGAGGTGAGAAGGCGGAGGAAAGGATTTCCTCCTACCCCAACCGGGTGAGAAAGAGGAGGAGGAGGGAGACAGAGGCTCCGGCCCGGGCCCTGAGTCATTAGCCACACACTTTAAAGGCAAAGAAGGGATTAAGCCCAGCGTCTATTGTTCCAGTTGTTCGGGCACGTGTGACCCGAGAGTCCCCAAACAAACGTCTAGGGAAATCCTTCCTCGCCCTAATCAGATTGTCCAAGGGCCGAGGGCCGGGCGGCCGGTAGCGTGGAGTACACAGTGCAGCGACAGAGCCAGAGCCAGGGCAGAGAGAACGAGGAAGGAAGGAGAGACGCAGGGAGAGCCAGGGGTGGGAAACACACACACACACACACACACACACACACACACACACACACACACACACACACACACACACACACAATCTCCGACCCTGAGACGCAAAGAGCAAGACGCGAAGCTCCGGGCGCAGGCCGGCCGCGGGAAGCCCGCTTGGCAGAAGGGGCAGCGGCAAGGTACCTGCGTCTGCGTGAGTCCCAAGGAGGCCGCGAGCTCCGCCCTCTCGGGCAGAGCTAGGTACTGAGTTTGCTGGAACCTCCGGTTCAAAGCCTGCAACTGCAAACTGGAATAAATCGTCCTGGGTTTGCGGATCTTTTTCCCCTTGCCATTGAAGCGCACTTCACCGCCTTCCACCACCGTGCTCTTCTCGGAGTCAGCCCCTGGAGGGACAGCAGAAGCGGAGGGCCGCTGTTAATGCAGGGACAGCCTTTAGTGTGGGGAGCCCAGGGCCAGTGGCAACCGAGGGGTGGCGGTGGCTGGGCTGAGAGAAAGAACGCTCAAGAAACTCCGAAAGCCAGGGAAGTGTCCCGTAAAGTCCGAGGGCCAGACCCGGGCCGCTGCAGGCGGACTGGGGCAGTTCCCAAGCGTGCAGTTCCTGCCTTTGCAGGGAAAGTTTGCTATTTTTGCAGGCGGCAGTTGAGGTTTAATTACCCTTAATTGCATACATTGTTTATAGCGCTACGCAATAAATAATTACTGAGACTAATACGTGCACATGTGGGTTTCTGTTTTCCAAAGGGGCATTGTGTGCTCGGCGCACAGAGCCACCCAGAGGCCCAGACAGTGCCAGGGGATTTATCTCAGATTTATCCTTTACTGGATAGTCGCGAGTTGGGTGGAATTTTGAAATATTTTTTTCTTTGCTATGACAAGGATCCATAGATTGATACCCGAAACCTCCATTGCTCCGGCGCCCTCCCCACCCCCACCTCTCTCTCCCCCTCTCCCTCCTCTCTCTCTCTCTTCCTCCCCCTTCTTCCTCCCTCCTTTCCTCCCTCCTTCTGTCCCTCTCTCCCTTCGTACCCTTTCCTCTCCCTCTCCTTCTCCCTGGCAGACGCACGTACCTGGGTCCTCCAGGCGGCTCTGGGCGAGGCTGGCGCTGCCCGGGTAGGACTGCACCGAACTGATGTAGGGGCTGGACGCGTGGCTGCTGACCGAGTTGACGTAGGGGTAGCCCAGCGGTCGGGAGAAAGACGAGGCCGAGCTGTAAGCGCCGTCGGGCTGCGAATGGCCCGCCGAATGTAAACAGTGCATGGAGTAGTGCCCGTGGGACATGGGAGAAGGAGACATTTGCTGGTTGGGTGGCCCAAACTCCATAAACACCGCCTTGCCCGACACGGGGCTGTTGAGACTTTCTGGCATGGTGGTCATGGTCATCTCTTCTCGCGGGGTCTGGGTGTGGGTCTCTCTCTCTCCTCTGCTTCCCTTTTGGGGGTCTCTGTGTTTCTCAGGACAGGAAGGAACCCAATTTAAGCGGAACAGGGGTTTTCACTTTCCATTCATAAGAAAATGGAGTTTGTCTCTTTGAAAAGTCTAAGCATGATGCTGCCGAGCTCCCCAAACTCGCTTCAAAGCTTTGACTCAGCCAAGGTCATAAATATTCATGAGCTGACGGAGCTGATTGGTCCGCTGTCTTGCATAATCACCGGGGATTGGTCCGAGGCGCTCCGGCTCCGCTGGACTAGAGCGGGCGAGGCGGCCGGGCCTCGGGAGAAACGCGTCCACACTTCCCGGCCGGGGCTCCTCTGCAACAGAGCGCGCCGCGTGGGGCGCACAATGGGCTGCAGCACCCGCGCCGGGACCTCCGCGGCCCGCGGCTCTTCAGCCTCCCGCCTCCCCCGGCGCGCAGTACTTCCCAGAAACCAGCGGCTCGGCGCAGCCGCCCTCCCCCCACTACTGTCCCCACCCTCCGCCCGCCCCCAACGCCCAGAAAGGGGCATCGCTTCTCCCAGCCGCCGTCACCCGGTCCAGCGGTCAGCTAGGGCTCCGGAGCCCGGCCGCGGCCTCGGAGCGCGAAGTCGCGCACGGGGGTGGGGGTGGCGGCACCGGAGGCGGCCAACCGAGCGCTGTCCTCCCGAGAGCCGTGTGCCTAGCGCAGCGCTCCCCTCGGCGGCGCCTCCCTGGCTCGGGTCCGCTCTGCCACATCCCTGGGGGCAGGTTTGGGGCCCTCTGGGCGAACTCACTCACTCGGCCGCCGCGCCGCCGCCGCCGTTCCCTGGGGCCCGCTCGCATTGCTCCAGGCCCAGCTGGCCACTCCAGCTCGAGGCTGCACCGGTCTGATTAAAGCAGTGCGCGCGGAGAGCCAGGAACCCGCGCTTCTCCTCCCAGGAAAGGCGGCCGCACCGCCCCCTCCCCCCAACACACACCCCCTCTTTCCCTCCCAACCTTCCTCCGCCTCCCCTTCCTCTTCACTCCCTCTGCGCCGAAAGCCCCGGACGCACTCGCCCCAAGGGCGCGGCGCAGAGTGGAGCCCAGGAGCCGGCGGGCTCAGTTTGGCTTGAGCAACCAGCACCAGGTGGTCAGTTTCCAGCCTTCCGGGGTCTGGCGAGAGTACCCCGGGTTTAGGAGTCCTGGGGAACACCGAAACCCGCGGCAAAAACAGGCCAGTGGCAGGCTCGCATATCTTTGTACAATCATGTCTCTCATTGTCGCCCAGGATCCTCCTCATCTCCAGTGGTCAAAGCGGGCGCCACTGGGCCTGGGGGCAGGGCTAGCAAAAGCTGCCACGGCGCCTTCTATCTTCTGGGGCGCTAGGTACAGAAAAGCGCACAAAAGCCCCCCGCCGCCGCCACCACACAGCCACCCCCACGAGGCGTGGCGCACACCACGCTGCCTGCTAGGGACTGTTGGTTCCCCATCCCGCCAGCCCCACGGTGAATCCCAAATTACTTTGTTAGGTAATTAGAAAGTGTTGATAATTATTTCTTTCATAATTTAGCGGTGTGACGGGAACGGGGAAATGATCTTGTGAAAGTTCACACGTGCAGATGTATTAGTTACTGATTCATTTGATTAAATGGTAGTCTCAAGTGCTCCGATCCGCAGCTGAAGGCGCCCCATTAGCATAACACTGATGTTTAATTTTCATACGCATAATTAGCCATATATTTAACACTAATAGCAACATGCAGCCTTTCAGCGTTAAACAGCCCGGGATTTGATCTGGCCTGAGCTGAACCTTCGGCGATGCACCTTCCCCTGTCTGGAGTGCTCAATGATCACAGGACAAACCTCTGTAATCAAGCACATTTTGGCAGAGGGAACACCAATAAAAATGAACATTCAAAACAAATTACATCGTGCTGTCGTTACAGATATTAGTGGAAGGGGCTTCTCTCTTTTTTAACTTCTGTAGCCGCAGCTGCTGCCCGCGGAATCCCTCTCCTTTGGTTTAAGGGCATGATGTTGGGGATAGCAATATTTCAGGCAGCGTGGTTGGAGCAAAAAGAAAAACAAAAGCAAAAAAAAAAAAAATCCTTCAAACCAATAACGGGTTTGCCAACGTTTAAAAAGATTTTTTTCCCCTTAATCACCGAACCACACGGTGATGCTTTGTAGTAACAACCAGCTAATGACTCCGCCACCAGACTGCTCTTGGAGCCGCTCGACTCCTCTTGATTTCCTTGTTGCACTTGTGGTTTTAATAGCTCCTTCCTAGCGCCTGTTTCGGGGTGTGGAGTGAGGTGCGGTACGCACGCACGACAGCACGGATGCCGCCCGGGCCCCCGGTCTTTCGCGCGCACCTATAGCGGGCCCTGCCCACGTAAGTGATTGCCTCGGCTGGCGCGGGGTCGGGGTTGGGACCGTGGGAAGTGGCTGTTGACTTCGGGCGCTCAGGGCTACGCGTGAGGAAACCCGACGGCTGGGTTTATTCCAGAGAACTGAAAGATGAGGGAAGGGGGGAGAGACGGCCACAGGTCGCGACTGTCTACAGGGCTCTCGGTCCACATCTGGAGGGGGAGAATCCAAGCCTTTCCAGCGCAGGGGACAGGGCTGGCTCCGTGGAACAAAGGACCCGCACGCGCCCCCTCAGGAAAAGGTTTCAGAGCCTTGTTTGTGTTAGAAATGAATTATATGTGGGCGAGGGAGTCTCTACATTCGGGAATTATTTCCTAGCCCCAGAGAAGCAGGTCTGGGGAAGGAAGGCTGAGCCGGGGCCCTCGGGAGCGGAGACGCCAGGCCTTGAGTAGCTTCTGAGTGAGCGATCTTATCTCCCCCCACTCTCGGAGCCCAGAGTGGATCCCTCCCCCGCAAGTCCCCCAAACCCCCGCTGTTAAGACACCTGTTCTGAAACCTTGGTTTGCTAAGATCTTTGCCTGCCCCAACTCTGTGAGGGAGCAAAACTCTCACATTTATTCTGAGAGTCCCGGATTCCGAGTAGAACCTGTTGGAGACATCGCAGGACCCGAGCCGGGTGGTGGTAGCCATGGCCACGCGTGGGCGGAAATCCCCGCGGCCCCGCGGGAGGTTTGGGGCCAGTTCATCTGGGAGGTGGTAGCTGTGGTGCACGGGGTATTTTTAAATCTGCTTTCTAACTTCAACTTCAAAGCAGGTTAAACGGAGTTCGTTCTCATTCAAGTTTGTTTCCCACGGAGCGAGTATTGGCTGGTGCTGGTATATATACGTGTGTATAATATTTAAATTAGGCTTAAACTAGTTACTTTAATATATAGGATTATAAACCTGTCCCCCAAATACTTCCATCTCAGAATAATTGCTGCCCAAGCAGCATGTTATCCCAGTGGATGGTAAAATCCTGTGGTCCTAATAAAATTATTCTTGAGGAACTTGGAGTAAACTGATCCGTAGATAAGATAAGTGGCTAACCATTGCAATCTGATTGTTCTAGGAGAGAAGTGCAATCATTATCTGGCAAACCTCCCCCAGGGCCATCTGGGCCTGGTTCCTTACTAGAGAATCGGATGGGTCCAGAGCAGCAGCCTCATCTTGAGGCTTTTGCTTGGCCAACTCTCAAGCATCCCCCAAGTTTTTCTATGGTCCTTTAAATCTTCAACCTTTTCCTCGTCTTTTCCAGCTCTCAGATCCACTTGAATTGGAACTACTTCGGTCCAAATTCTACATCTCTGGACACAGAGAAAGGGAGTTGGAGGGGTTGGAGGACACCTGAGAGAATCCAAGTTTAGGGAAAAGCTTGAACCAGCCACTTTTCTGAGTGCACTTATTGGCTTCAGTTTCCCATCTTTTCTCCACTCTGAGTGTCACAAAGTGAGCTGCCTCTTGGGTCCTGATCACAGAGGCCACCTGTCATGATAACTATAGGTGCTCACATTTCCTTGATGCTCTGCAGCTCAAGCTGTATTTAGAGGGTGGCAACTTTGCAAAACCCGTTTCAGTAGAAGCAAAAGTTAGCATAACCCCTGACTGCCCAGACACCTTCACTGAACTTGCTCTTTAAACTATGACCAGAGCAGGGATAGTTTCTATGTGGTCTGCTAGAGGCCCCAAACCTCTTCACCTGAGCCCAGGTGTGAACAGGTGCTGGGGAGGGGGGG